TCAACCATAGCTGAAAACCATTTAATCACATGTCAAAATTTGATAAATTACATAATAGTAAAGATTTCACCCATGAACTCTAAAAGGGACTTAAATTGCTTCAAACAAATTAATCAACCAGAGACTCTAAAAGGGACTTAAATTGCTTCAAACAAGTTAATCAACCAGAGAGAACCCAAAAATAATTGAAATACCATCGCTTAACATTCAAATCTTTAAAACAATTCAATCACTGCTTCTACTTCTGTTTGAAACAATTTATTAATACCAATTACGATCACTCTAGCCATATCAAAACACTATAACAACTCAGATATTCAAATAAATATGGCCAAATCAATTTGCATAATACAATTTGAAAACACTAACTCATATCCAAATAATTACTTCAAAACATAAAAAATAAAGCATAAAATTAAATAAAACATATCAAACCAAATATAAAATACTTCAATGTAGCACATTGAGCAAAATATTACCGAATATTACTGAATGTCGAGTAAGAAGCTATATCAATGATGTATGCTGAAGCTCTCTTGATAAAACTTGATGATTTACACCTGAAACAACAACCACAAACCTTGATTCCACCTGAGCAACACTGAAATCAGCCACAAAAACATATTAAATTTAACATGATATTACTTTGATTGATATCAATCAAAACTTTATCTTGCTTACACTATGAAAAAAAATGATATATTGTGACTATCCTTTTTAATGATACCTTATCAATTTAGAACAATAACACAGACTTCACTAGCATCACATTTATTTCAGAAACAATAACAAAACTTCTTTTAGACATTTGAACAAACAATTGGTAGACACAATCCAAATTAAAAATATATTATTATTAACTTGTAAATTTCAATTAAAAAATTGATGAAAAATAGAGAGATAAACACACTGAACACCCAGAAATCATTCAAATCACAAAACTCTTTTAGAAAAAAATAAAAAGAAAAAAATATAGAACACAAGACGATAAAAAAGAACTATGAAAGACATAAGAATGGAGACAAAGAAAGACATAAAAATCAGATTTAGATCAAATAGAATATATAAAGAGAAACTATGAAAGACATAAAAATAGAGAGATGAACGACCGTTGATTTTAGAAATAGAGGAGAAACACAATCGCCGACAAGTCACGACCAAGAACTTTTATTTTGTAAATTGTAACTTGTTGTATACTTGTGTTGACTGTTGAGAGGAAGAAGACGAGATGAGAGGAACTGAAGAAGGAAATGAAAAGGTTCTCAAATCTCAAATAGTCAACTTTTATGCCAATGCTAATGGTCAGCCACTGGTTAGGTATGAGTGAGAATATATTAATAGAGATATTAAAGTAAATTTCATATAGGCGACACCCGCCCCTGCACCATGTAAAAATCGGATTTTCTCGGCAACCGCATCCACTTCAATCAAATTTTCCCGTTAATTTTAGGGCGGACCCGGCGGGATTCTTTTGCCATGCCTAGGCTTTTCTTTTTTTCCAAAGAAACACAGGGAAAACTCACCTTACTTTCGAAACCTTCTAAGCTTCTTTCGAAAACCATTATTAATGGTGCAATTTGTGAGGTTCCACCATCCACATTGCATTTGCTCAACAACAAATAAACCCTTCCATCCGCTACTGTAAGAAGCCATCAGCGGCCACGCTTGAGAAAAATGCTTTCTCGCTGCAAAAACAACAACTCTTGGTCTTGCGGACTTGTAAAGCTTAAAAGCGCAATTTTCCTCACTGGTAACCACACGAATAGTGCCAGTGAACAGAGATCACAACCCGCACATTAACTGCTCGCCACTGCACAACGGATCAAACAACAGAAGAAGAGAATCTGCCGCGAGAGGAGAGATTCGCGAGTCTGAAGCAGAGACGAGAAGGAGGAGGCATCACCTGTGAAATCATCGCCGACTTCGAAGGACCTCCGCGCCGGATTCCACCTCAAAGCGTGCAAATTAATAGAGTCGAAGATGAAGGGTAAGACACGTTGCGGCTGAAGATTTCGTTCGATTGCAGATCATGATTTTGATTCAAAGCTAGAAACTCCTGAGGTTGGAGGAGGTTGCGGTTCTGTCCTCCTTTGATACCTTTTTTGTGATATAGGTTCGGGCTTGTTCTTGAATGGCCCATGATCTGTTTTGTTTTTTTTAAACATCAAGATCTATTTTTGCATAGCCAATTCGGTGGGTCTGTGAGGTATTCAGCTCTTTATTTTATTTTTATTAATTCATTTGTTATTTTATTTTTTTGGATAATACTTCATAAAGCAATGGGCCTATCAGCATGGCCCAAATGTTTTTACCACCCTCACTTGTTTTTGTACCCTTTTCATGTTACTCACCTTTCTTATTTTTACTATTTTGTTATTAATAATTTAATTTTGATTTTGAGTTAATTAGATTGTATTAATAGTTTAAGTTAGAACTAGGTTGATAATCGAATTTGACTTTTGATTTAGACTTAGGATTAGATTTTATGATCAAATTCCTAGTTAAAATTTATAAGTGCTTGAGAATATAGTTGATGCGAATGTCTATGATCTTGATGTTGTGCTTGTTTATTGAATATGGTGTCCTTTAGCTTTGGATTGATTGCCTGATTGTATGATAATTCATCTTCATCTTCGATAATTTGAATTAGGATAAATGATCGGATCCTGGGTTCTGATTTTCCTTTCCTAGTCAGGATACGTAGGCACAAGATGCGATATCTTGTCGAACCCTCTAACCTCTAACCTCTAACAACTAACACTTCTCTATCCTTTTGGTCTGGTTAGAACCAATTGATTTTGCAACTTAGAATTATATAACAACTAACTCTGTGTAACATTAATGGTTATGGATACTTACTTCCCTTATGGGACCTTGATCGTTATCAAGAGCTCCTCATTCCTAGTTAGGAGAACTACAATTATTCTGATTCCATCCTAGTTAGGATACGTAGGCACGATATGCGACGTCTTGGCGAGCATACTTAATGTATATACCCTTAGGTCTTTACCTTAGCACAGTTCCCTTAGCAAGCAAACTTTAGCATAACACAAATACTAACAAGAGGTTCATGTAGAGTACTACAAATACTTAGGATGCTAACACCTTCCCTAGGTACAACCAACCCTCGAACCTTAGATCTCTAGCCTTGTTGTTACATGGCGCGCTTAGGGTTTTCTTCGATCTTTACCCTTTCCTTTGGATAAATCAAAGCTCGGTGGTGAACTTCATATATTTGTGATTCAAGTTAACTAATAGCTTGATATTCGATTCTCACTGCAGCAGTCTAGTCTCTGCATGCACGTACATTCGAAATTTTGCTTTTGGGTTACTATTTGGTGACAGTTTACATGAAAGCGATTATGTTCACACCTTTGTTAGAGAGATTGTGAAGGAAGTCAAGACTGTCTTGCAAGTGAAGAGGTCGAAAAGGAGGGACAACAATTCTCATGTAACGCTAATACATTCTTTTTAAGATCTTTTGGTTCTTATTTTGGGTGTATTTTGTATGCGACATTATTTATATGAGATTATTACGTATTTTGTTTGGCGGTCTTATACTATATATCATTTTGAATTTTTAGTTAAATTTTCATTTTCATTTTAATATATTTTGTGTTGTTGTTTATGTTGTTGCAATTTAAAGATGTTGTTAGCAAAAACATAGGTTATGCTATTGTAAAAGACAAATTTGAATTCTTTGATCTAAAACCATGATGAAATGTGTTATTTCAATGCAGATTTTATAATTTCAACCCATGCTTACGAGGGGTTTGGCATGGTTCATATTCTATAATCCAAAATGTGTCGAGTCATTTATTTTTATTGTTTGATCTAGAACACATCAGACACTTTCTGTGAATTAGAATGTAAATATACGTGTCAATTAATGTGCATGGTTATTTTTTATTCACAACACAAAATCATGAACTCTTATTATCATATTTTCAAACATAATAAATTTTAACCTAATTGTAGTTTACTACAAGAAGAGGATTAATTCCCATTTATTCAAAATCAATGTTGTTGTTATATGTTGGATCAATTGAACCAAGTGAATTAGAGTCTCGACCACGACGACGCAAGATATGTGGTTAGTGTGGAGTATTGATGTCTGTTAGTCGAAGATGATGGATGCATTCAATTCAACAACATGAAACTTCAAAACTACAATAATGTGAGAACTATATTCTAAATATTTCATTAGTATCGTAACGAGGAACCAGTCGAGTATGATACCACCTTGATCATGTGTTATTTGTTCCGACACATTTGATGAAATTGTTGCATGATTGGATTTAATGAGAAATAACTAGTTTGTCCAACCTATGATCTTGATCTGGTTTTAATTAGTCACAAATAGTGCACTAAGAACACCATAAAGGAACCTAAAAAAAAGGTTTCGTCTTCAAGTTTTAGCCAAACTTTTGCTTGTTAATTCAATCATATTCAATTCTATGGGACACCAAGTAGCACAACTTGTAACAAGCTAGGGGACTAAAAATGAAATTTAAAAGAGACATCAATCCTATGGGACACCTATGGTATAGGTAGAAAAATTGGTAAGCTAAGGAATAAAGAATGAAATTTAAGAGATATCAATTCTATGGGACACCTATGGTATAGGTAGCACCTCAAATTAACTCAAAATTGAATGCATAATGGGAGAAAGGAAAATTACACAATTAAGTATTCACCAACATCAATCAACATATTCGAAATGACTACTAATATCTCAAAATCAACACTACATATTCCTTATTCCTTTCTACCAAAGGAACAAAACTAAGCTAAAATTGTAAGAGTAAAAAAAAATTGGTAATGCACAAAGCTATGTACAAAAGATGTCAAATCCAACAACTAGGACCTAAAACCACATGCAAAATTATAAGACCAATCAAACTTTGAACTTAATTGAGATGTGATGTCCTATCTGAAAATGTAGCCAAAAATTATTTGTGACTAGTTTGGCCTGCTTGTAATTATTTGTTATGAAAATCTCAATATCGCCGCCTAGACAGAAAAAACTCATAATCCGGATGTTTGTTTGTGCTGACTCGGTCCCCTTTGTTTACAACGGCTCTTGCCATAAGAGCCGCTGTTTCTTCAAGTGTTCTCAATCGCTCTTTAAGAAATATTGAAGGGTTTATGCCTAGCATTTCCGCTGCCAATGCAGAATGATTCAGCTCGAACCAGCATTCACCCTGTATCGAAATTTCATTTGCAATGTGTTCATCTATAACATCTTTCTATCAAATGAAATGACCGGTTAAACTTTGATGTTGAAGCGACAAAATTCATACCTGTGCATTGTAACTTTGAAGACCTACAACTGGAGAAACCACGCAAGAATCTAGAGTTGGCGAATCAGAATTTGAACTTCTACGAACCAAATGTCCAAGTGAATGGTAAGTCAGAAAAGATGCACGAAAGTTGCCATCGGGTATACGGTAAATAGGATACCATGCAACTGAGTACCTGCAAAACAGGTGGTCTTAAACTGTTACCGTTTATCTTTCACTAAAATGATGATAATGATTGCTTCTGATCATATGAAATGTACTTTTTTTTTCATAAATGAAATACAATTTGCATGATCATTTACCAAGATCTAGGATGAAGATCTTGCAGGATTATTGAATCCAGTTTAGTTGCGTCCCCATAAGTTTTGGATTGGAATGGCACGTTACCTTTAATCAGCTCCTGTATCCTATGAGGAAGAAATGGAACAAGAAATGAATATGATATCACATGTTACAAAACATACTGAATGACAGTGACACCTTTTTTCCGAGGAATCGGTGCTATAGAGAAAACCACTATGTTCTAATATAAAAGTGATGAACAATCTTACCTTTCATATAGAGGTCGTCTTTGTTGAGGTTGTTCGCATTCAAAATATTCAAAAAGAAGTTCTAAATCGCCAGAACTAGTAGAGTCGGTATATGGATTCGAACCATTATTGATAGGCGTCCTAAAGGAGTCTTCAGAAACCTTACAATTAGGAAAGCTTGCATTGTTCTTCACGCATGGGTTCTCACGATTCTTAAACAGCTGAACCGCTGATAAAGAAGGGACAAAATAGGCACGAAATGGAAAATGACCAACACCACCGAATGTCTTTGGATTTTCATAATCCCAAGCCCTTATTTCTAATCCATAGCTACCATGTTTCTCATACCACTCCCACAAGCACCCCAAAGATACTTCAGGAACCTCATGTCGGCACAGCGAAGAACCAACAGAATAGTTTTGAGAACACGTCAAACAACTGAGTGAATCAAGTGATCGACAAATAACAGGACTGCAAAAATGAAGTAGTCTTTCAAACTCTGCAATCGGTCCACCAGTCGCCTTATGTACTACTTCACAAGCTAATTGAACCCTAAAGGTGTCATTCACGGCTTGAGCAATTCTAAACGATTCGTTTTCAAACATATATTGATTCTCACATTCATAAATCATGTGATTAGCCACTTCTTGTTTGTCCCTATGCTCGGCCAGTCTACCTGAAATCTCCTCATTGAGTCTATGATTCTCGCCATCGATCTGATCAATGCATGTAATATCATGTGGTGAAGAATACTGATTTTGAGAAAATGAATCAGTTTTGGGTTTGAGACTGTTTTCCAATTCGGAATTTTTACTAGTTGGTTCATCAGAATATTCTGACTCAGATTTGGTCATTCCAGTATCTTTTTTCCCAACTGGTATCCATTTCCATTGTGAAGATCCAGAACTGTGGTTTTGTGCATTGTAATCAGCAGAAGAAACTACTTTCAATGTTTCACCAATTTGATCATCTAAAAGATTACAGGAGGAAACTTGAGATTGCTCATCAGAACAAGAAACTTGAGACTGAATGTCTATACTTTCATTCTTCGTTTCCTGTGAAATATTCTGGATATTGGATTCCACCGGTTCAGATGACTCTTGTTTAACTCCATTGGTCTGAAACTCCATAATCGTTCCTTGTTGATTAATTTCCTGAGATGAGATATTTGAAGAATCATTCGGTTGAATACTACTCTTCACGTTATCGTTTAACACGGTCCTGTTATAATTGGAACCCTTCCGAGAATAATTGCAGGGTCCTTTTTTCAAAACCAAGTCTGTTGTTTTCCCTTTCGATTTCCGACTGGCTTTATTTTTCGATTGTTTTTTAACCTCTCCTCCTGAAACGACATTTGCGCCAACAGAATTACAGTTTTTGATAGCTGAAGTATCCTTGTCAGTAGTGGAAATGAATTGTGACGAAGGTGTGCTTACTTTCTTCAAATCACCGCCGCCACCACCACATTCACTCGAACTGTTCTTCTGAACCTTTTGCCATACAGAATGGCTGTTTTCCTTCCCCGTTCGGCCGTTCAAACTGCCAACGCCTGTGAATTTGTTGAAACTTGAACTCTTCGATATTGTTCTCTTATGCTGAACTCTCTTATCATTTACAATGCAATTTTGACCACCATTCTTCATTTCCTCATTATGTTCAGAGTTACTGCGAAAACCATTCTTTAAGCCTTGACCGAGAAAATACTCGTCTCCACAACTTGCCTTGTTGGACTGTTTTCCTATATGACCACCATGGACACTTTCATCGCTTTTGGAACCAATCGAAACTGCATCTAACACTAAAGAGTCTTGTACATCATTAAAACCACATAGCTCAACCTCTTGAGAATCCTTTGTTTCTCTATCGTGAAGCTGACCCTTTGATTCAGCTTTTGACATCACTGTCTCCTCGATACAAGGGTCACAGCGTTTCGGTGCATCCATAACATTGACTTTGTCATTCATCTCATTCCTTTCATAATCATTTTTCTTGAACCTATCGTCGGAAGACGAAAATTCTGGGGCAGTTGTATCCACATCATTGCTGCTGCAGGTTTCGGAAGTCAAACTTGCACACCCGTATTCCTCCGTACGAACTTCTCTATCATTAGATCCACTTTCACTTGATTGGTTCTTTATCTGTTTCTTTCTGGCTCTTTTTCTCGAGGCTTTCTTCAGAGACTTATCTTCATTGGTGTTACTCATCCACTTATCGGATGAAATAACAGAAGCAGAACTATGAGGTGACGAGCTAGGGCTACTACTAACTACCGAACTTTGCGCACAAGAATCTGCAGGAAGTTCTTTCAGTTTACAAGCTTTGTTAGCTACTTTATTTTGACATCTACGACGAACGTTATTTGAACCGGTAAAACTTCTTTCATATGATTTGGCCGTATAAGCACTCAGAGGCACCTGTCTTCTACTCCCCTTGCATTGATCGTTCTTCGACCGGTTAAGAGGAGCTGGTGGAGGGAAAAGAAGTTGCAGACCATCCATATTAATTCCAGAAGCTAGGTTAATGTGATTGAGACACTGCACTGGAACGGCAAGAATTCTCCAGGTTCCATCAGGCTCAACACTAAGGAATGTAAGGATTGCACACCTGCTAAATAATTAACCGAACATAACCATAGTCACTATAAAATCTCAAGTTTTAAAAATAAAACCGAACATAACCATAGTCACCATAAAATCTCAAGTTCTAAAAATAAACAAATAAAAATAGGAGTTTGAGTAATATATAGGACTTGCTTGGATTGGCTTATTGAAGCTTATCGACTAACATAAACACTTGTGAGACTGTTTGTGATTTCACCTTATTTCCAGAAGCTCTCCAGAATATAGCTTATGAAAAGCTTATATTAAAACAGTTAGACTTTATTTTATCTTTTTTTATAGAAACAGTTTATGCAAAAGCACTTATATTATAAGAAGTTAAGAACAAATGCTATAAGTTTTTAATTAAGCTATTTTTCCAAACAGGGTTATAGAATTAAGTGAACAACCTCTTCAGTTGGACGACATCAAAACCACAGCATGGATTCACATTCCATCCCACCATGTAAATGTAATAAGAAGGCTAAGGGTGCATGTTATGTCGATACGAAACAACAATTTCAATAAAATAAGCATAAGAGATATAACAAAAAGAAGATGAAGTAAATGATAAAAGTCACGGTATTTTACCTACTATCAGAGTTGATCTTTGAAACAGAAGATCCTTGAGAATGCTGAATGAAATAACATAAAAAAAGAGATGAGACTAACGACTTAGCCAAACTCGATTGAACAATTCAGGGAAATGGGAAAGTAATTTACTTTTGTGACTTCTAGAGATGTAACTTTGTCTTGTTGCTGATACGTTGTTGATTTGGAATTCTTTCCCGCTTCTGAAACTTTTGGACTATCATTACCTTTTGGTTGAGGCGCACAATGCATCTTCCTTTCCTGTAAATGCCATCGGCCAAAAGATAAGAATGAGCACGATACTACTCCATTGAATTTGAACAAACCTAAATTGTTCCACAATACATGATTTAGTACAAAGCATAGAAAACCCTGCTCCATTGAATTTGAACCAACGCTATAACACTACAACATAACATAATTTCAAGAAAACCCAATTTTCCGCGGTTTCCGATTGACAGCACTTAATCATCTTTTGTCTCCATAGTTCTAAAAGATGGCATTTACCAAACAAGCATAGAACAATACAAACAAGCCTACACAGATAAGCATTAACTTTCTCAAGCCAATTTTATCAAAAATTTCCCGATCAGCATTCAGCACAATACCTTGGACTCGCAAACTTCGAAGGAACCTTGTAAATTCTAACATAATAACCGGCAACTAAACCAACAATTTTCAATCTCCTTATGCTCAAATCTCAGCCAAAAAATGGATAGCACAGCACATTTCATCGAACATTAAAGACGCAACAAAGCCTCCGGGCCATACACATTTCTTGGCTTCCATGAACAAACACAAAACTAAAGTTTAAAGAAACAACTACACAACCAAACACACAACAGAGACAAGTCCAGGAAAGGAGAAACCACAACTTGGGTTTCTCCAAAATCAAAATCAGGAAAAAGATTAAAATTATCCCAAAACAATAGCTCAATTACATAAAAAAGAAAAATTAAACTTGAAATAATCGCTTATTTAAACCATTAGTAGATAATCTATAAACAAATTTTGACTAAACCACAAATCTTAAGCCTAAAATATCTAAATCAAAGTATACCGTATCCTTAGCCATACAAATCTTCCTCAGATTTAGCCTCAGAAACAAGATTTTCCTTTTTATAGATTCCATCCACCTCATAAAATTCATAAACCTCATAAACCTCATAAACAAGATCAGTTATCCACAAAAAAAACATTAAGAAAATATTTTTTTTTCATAAAAAAATAAAAAACAACCACAACCCATTATTCAAAAACTAAACTTTTCAATAAAACAAAATAAAAAAAACACAAAAAAAACGAAATGGGTCTTGATCAAAAACAATAAAAAAATAAAAATTGATGAAAGAGTTGCAAAGAGACGAACCATGAGACAATTTCCAAAGGGTTGGAACTGAGTTACTCGCTTCTTCCAAGCCTGAACGGCTTTCTTCTTTCTAGCAAAATCACCCGTTTTGTCTTCTGTGATTGAAAACGCGATTAATACTTTTTGTTCCACTCTTGTATTGTTGATTGAAAAGCCGTTTTATCTTTTTAGGGATGAAAGAATCAAAGAAAATGAGGATTTTTGTGTATTTGGGATGAAACAAGAACAATACCGATGTAGGTGTTGAGTGGCCAGAGAGAGTGTCCAATGAAGTGAAAATGGACAAACAAAGAAAAGAGAAGAAAAATGTAAACTTTTTGAATATTGGGAAAAATGATTTTGACTACAGATTCACATCATTATGGAGGGATTTATAGGGGACTCAATACAAATTATCTTTTTTATGCTTTTTATTTTATCTTAGTAAGTCTTAATGTAGTTTATTTATTTCTTTATTTATTTGGTTTACGCTATCGGGTCGGATAAGATCGAATGATCCGATCCGATCCACTCAGATTATAAAGATTTTTTTTAACTTAATTAGAAATTTCAGAATCGAATTTATCTTTAAATTTAAAATATATATTAGTGTTAAATTTTTTAATAGAAAATTTTATTATCGATTTTGATTTTATTTTTCAGCTCGAAAGATTAATCTTTACGATTGCGTGCAATGAATATTCATTCTATACCAAAAATAATAATAGTGTTATTATTCAAAGTATTTAGAATAATAAATATAATTTTTATTATAATTTGAATTTTCATTTGTTATTCTATAAATGTCTAGACTGTTATGCAAAAAAAATTAATTCATATTAATTTTTTATTTTATTAATAGCGATTGGCTCATATTGAATTAGATAGTAAAGATTTTCTTTTTAACTTAATTACATATTTAGATTAGAATCTAGCTTCAAATTTTAGCACGTTGTGTTAAATTTTTTAATGTTAAATTTTGTTATTTGATCTGACCTGATCAGAAGGGGATTATTAGCTGACCACACTCTGTTGGGCTGCTACCTGTTCATCGGTGTTGAAGAACAGGAGGAGGGTGTACCTGCAAGACACTCTGATGCCAAAGTAAGGAATTGAGCAGAGTGAAAGCAAATACAGAAAAGGGGTAAGAAGTGAATATCTGACCCTCTTAGGGAAGAAGGTATTTATAGATAGACCTCAGCGTTGGGCCAACGGTCACTTGCGTTGGGCTGGATTGCCAGGCTCAACCCAGATGACTGCTAGGGCTTACGTGGCGTAGTGAAGACCATGACGTGGTCTTCGCCCTAGTCCAACTGTCACGTGATCTCCAGAAAGTGGGTTTGACCTGTTCTTTCGGAGGTGGGCAGTTGATCGGTGGCGTGTCTCCGCGGAGGGGAGCACGTAGAGAACGTGTGAAAGACACGTCATCCTGCCCAACAGGGGAGCGGGTTCTGTCCGCGAAGGGGCAGGTCCTGCCCGCGGAGAGGGCAATGTCTGGTGATGGAAGTCTTATGCTCGATATAGATGGGCAGGTTCTGCCCGCGGAGGGCATTACCTGTCAGCCGGGGACCTTGTATTCGGAGGCTGCGATCCAAGTCGGACTGGGCTTGACAGGATATTATTGAGCTGGGCCTGCCAGGCCAAACTGGGGCCCAGGTCAGAACATTATTCATTATAATTTTCTCCGACTCAAACAATTAATCTTTTCATTCTCAAACAAAGAATACTCAGTTTATATTAAAAAAATATTATTTAGAGTATTTAGAATATTAAATATAATATTTTTTTATTATAATTTGAATTTTGATTTGTCATCCATATTAATTTTTATTTTATTTTTTATGTTATTGAAAATAATGTATTAAATTTAATAAAGAAATATGTATAGCATAATTTTATCACAGGGCTAAAATATTTAATAAATATTTGAAATGTTAAAATGTAGGTTTTTGGAGTAGACTTCATGTGTATTTAACGTGTGAGAATTTTATAAATAGATTTTTTAACATTAAAAAAAATTAATTAATGAGTTATTGTAGAATATTTTAATATTAAAACATGATTTATTGACAAAAATTTTTTAGTAATAAAATAATTCAATGAATATTGATAGAGATGAATTTAATAAAAGCTGGTCTTTGTTGATAAACCAATATTTGAATTTTTGTTACAATAAACTATAATATTAATGATTATAATATGATTAACAAGAATTAATATTTTAATATGCTAAGTAACTATTGGACAGAAAATATTTTAGATATGAGAAAAATGTAATGATTGATATTTTTACTTATAAAATAATAATGTTTTTCTTTTGTTGACAGGGGAGGATTGTAATAATTAAAAAACAAGGAAAAAAATATGGGTTCTATTCACACAAAAATTAACACTTATTTTGTTTTACTAGTTTTATTGGTCAAATATTTATGATAGAAAATAAAATTATGGTTGGTTGATTGGTTTTACCGTTGCGTGAATGATTAAAGCAAGAAACTCATAAATAATATACTGAGTAGAATCGAGCATGAAACACACACGATGGAGAAAGTTAAATTTATTAATGAAATATTAATAGCTATTTTCACTTTTAACTCAAGTGTCAATGTTTACTAAATATTTTCAAATTAATCTATATTTCTACTTTTTTTTAAACTAATCCACTTTCAAATTGAAAAAAAATTGAATCGCATTAATGGTACGAGACAAATTGACATTGCATTAAAGTTATAATGGTACGAGACAAATTGACATTGCATTGTTCTTAAGTGTTATTTTAAAGACAATTAAGTTTAAAGTCAAATATATTAAAGTACCAAAACATAAAATTTAAAGATTTTTTTAAAGGTTTATAGTTGATTAATTTATTTCTCATAGTATTTATTGCTTACTAAAAAAGAAGGAAATAATCAAAATTAAAATAATAAGCATGTAAATAATATTGTTTTTTACTCAAAAATATATCTTATATAGCTAACAAAAAATACTAATAAGGATTTATAGGGTGGCACAATACAAATAATCTTTTTTATACCTTTATTTTATGTTAGTAAGTCATAATTTTTGTTTATTTACTCATTTATTTATTTGCTTTACCAAAAACTTTATCCATATAATATTATTCAAAATTTAATAGCAATGGCATCGCGTCGAATTGGATTAAATAGTAAAGATTTTCTTTTCAACTTAATTAGATATTTTAAGTTTAACTTTATCTAATACGCAATAGTGTTAAATCTTTTAATAAGAAGTTTTTTTTTTTATTATGGTTTTCTTCGATTAATATTTAGAATTGTGTGCAAAGAATACTCCGTTTTTACTAAAATAAATAATAATATTAATTTTTTTTAGTAATTATTGAAAATAATATATTAAATTTAATAAACAAAATTAGATAATTAATTAATGTGTGTGTGCGCACGCGAGTGTGTGTGGAGAGAGAATATCAATTGTCAAAAATATAATATTTTAATTTAATTCATTTATTTTAATACTGGAGTAAAGAGAAAATAAAAATGACACATAATCTCACTCATTTATTTTAAATTTAATGGTTCAAATTTATTCTCATATTCTCTTATATTATAGCATAATTCCATCACATATGACAAAATATTTGATAAACATTTACTTTAAAGTGTAAGTTTTTGAGGTATGACTTTTATGTGTATTTAATGTGTGATAATTTTATAAATAGATTTTTTGGCATGAAAATAAATAAATTATTGTGCAATATTTTTATATTAAAATATGATCTATTGACTAAAATTTATTATTAATAAAATAATTCAATGATTATTTTTTCAACAATGATGACCAATTTTTTATACTAGTTGATTAAAAAATTTATTTAGGAGTGACTTTGTGAAAAGGTCTCATGTAATGCTAAAAGTTCTGCACGATTAGATGATGTTGTTGTTATGGTGTGTTTCATCGATCTCCATTAAATTGTTTTACACCCACATGTAAACAAATAACTTGTTTATGATATACCATTATGAGGACCTGACAAGTAATTTGCATCTGCATAACCTGTTAATTCGAATTTGGATACTTTGGTATAAAATAAACCCATGTCTATTGTACATCTATGGTAATGAAGTATATGTTTGGCTCTGTTCCAATGTCTTCGTGTAGGCGAAGAATTGTATCTTGCTAATAGATCTATAATAATTGATATATTAGGACGTGTATAATTAGCAAGGTACATTAGTGTTCCAATTGCACTGAGATACGGCACTTCAGGACCAAGCAATTCTTCATCCTTATCTTGAGGTCTGAAATAATCTTTCTCCACATCTAATGATCCAACAACCATTGGAGTAGACAACAGGTGACATTTGTCCATATAGAAGCATTTTAACACCTTTTCTATATAGCCTTCTTGATGTACAAATATTCCTTTGTCCAAATGTTCAATTTGCAAACCTATGCATAATTTTGTCTTTCCTAGGTTCTTCATCTCAAACTCTTTCTTTAAAAAATTCATAGCTTTTGGAAGCTCTTCAGGAGTTCTAATAATATTCATGTCATCCACATAGACAGCTATTATTGCAAATTCCTTTCCTGAACTTTTTATAAAAAAAACAAGAACAAATGGAGTTATTTGTATATCCCTCTCTAAGCAAATATTCACTTGGACGATTATACCACATTCGTCCAGATTGTTTCAGCCTATAGAGAGACTTGTTCAATCTTATGGAGTAGCTTTCTCGAGATCCAGAATTATGTGCATCTGGTATATTGAACCCTTCAGGGAGTTTCGTGTAAATTTCACTTTCAAGTGAACCATACAGATAAGATGTTACAACATCCATCATGTGCTACAAACCTAATTAAATATTAAAAATTGAATTACATCCACTGCAGATGGATATGTTTCATCAAAATAAATCTTAGGTCTTTGTGAAGATTATTGAACAACAACTCAAGTTTTGTATCTCACAATTTCACCGTTTATTTTACTTTTTCACAAAAAAAAAAAATCATTTATATCCAATTGATTTTACACCTTGAGGTAATTG